GCGAGAAATAAAGCATCGCGAAAGAAAAAAATGTCTGAGAAGATGCGACAAAGAAACGAGAAGAACAGCAAGATTAAACTCTTGAAATACTTTTCTTACGTGCGGACAGATAAACGAAGAACGTGATCGGCAAACGAAAATTGCGCGTTCCGTGTTCACGATGGTTGCCACTTCGAATCGCAGGCGAGCGCATATGGTGTTATGCGCGAAACACGAACGAAAGGGGAAGAAATTTACCGCGAGGACATATAAATATCGAGGGGAAAATTCCAGATATCCGGTGTTTGGCACCCGTGTGGTATCGAACGGACACGGTGAGCGCGTGTTCGCAGCTTGCAGCTATTTTTATTCATTACTCCCGGTCTGTCAGCAGGTGTATTTGAGCGAAGGGGAACAAGATGGGCGAGAGAATGAATCTCCGGCCCGTATCTGGCCGGTTTCAAATATCGATCGAAATGTAACACGCCACGGAATCTATTAACGTTTTCCCCGGCAATATCGTATTCTCGATCTTAAAGCTCTGATTGAATTCCGCGCGGCCCGAGCAAGTGGAACGTGCCTGCATTTCACCATGGATCATTGCTTATAATAATTCTCCGGTTCCCTCCCGGCACGAGACGAAGAACATGAAATCGAAGGGGAATTAATTTCACTTTCTTTTTTCTTTAATGTCTTTCTCGATTCTGCAATCAGTGTGTGTGTGTGTGTGTGTGTAATTGATATTTGCGTTAATCCTCTAAAAGCAGACTTTCATTTACTCGCTAATAGATTGTGGATTTTCATAAAATTTCTTTACAATTTCAAAAATTTATTACTAAGGTAAATGAAAAGACAGATGAGTGGAAATTATAACAAAACGAGACGTATATATTTAAGTTTCTTCTGCCTCATTTAATGCTCTTCTATATGGGCACCATTAGTTGAAGCACATCAAGACGATTTCTTGCCATGTTCTCTGTAGCATACTCTCATCAATGGTGGCAATGGCATCAGTGATCCTCTACTTTAGATGTCCCGTTTGTTCGATACACGATATCTTTAACATAACCCTATGTGGATGTCCATAAAGTCTCTTTACAATTTATAATACAATAAATATCTATAAATAAATTAATATATTAATATTAAATAAATTAATATTATATTAATACAATATTAACACAATAATATTTATAAATAAATTTTTGAAATTGTATATTAGAAAATATATTGCATACGCTACGCAAGCTATGCAAAATGTAGTAATTGATCGCGATCTTTCGATCATTCTTCTCGAAGTTGAGAAACATACCTCAAGCTTAAACGCGAAACGCGAGAATGTTGTTAATAGTTTTCAATTTATTTCGGAACATTACAAATCCATCGTTTGCTAAACTGTGAGCGCACGATCAGATTAAACGTTCGTGTTGAACGATAAAAGCAATCTTCATTTATAAAGGATATGTAGCTCCGATGAAAATTCTGGCAGATAATCGCGTTCGTCAACATTTTTACGTAGCAACCTGTTTTTTAATCCGTGTAAAAATTGTGTAGATACGCAGACACGAGTGACTTACAAATTGCACGACGTTGCGGAAGGTTAAATCTTTCACAAAAATTCACAAATGGTCCGGAGGGGTGGACGAATTTGATAAATTTTACAAAACGGAAGAGTCACATGGAAACGAGCTGAGCCTGACAACGAACAAACAGATTCATTCAGTGTAGCAGGTGGTTCGGAGGGGAAAAATTGGATGCGAGATCCCGAGCGAGATGAAAATAAAAAAAGTAGAAAATAAAAAAGAAAGAAACTACCGAGCGCATCTACGATGCACGTTTACGAGCGTATAATATCGTATCTAAATACAGAGTACATCCTCTTCAGAGTACTTTAATACTTCTTACCATTTCTTTCAGGGGACTATATATCCCCTTGAACGAGCAGATTACTTATAGCCACGGAGAAGTTTCGTTTTTTCTTTTTTTTCTGTCTCGCAAGGAACGAAGGAAGAGGGGAAGATCGCTTGGCGTTTTATTTAAAAATTCTTATCGTTCCGCGCGGTTAATTTGGTTTCTAAATGACCGGGCGCGGTCGAAATATCGTGCGTTCCAAGAACGGTTGCATACTAACGAGTAGTCGAACCTGTGCATGTGCTTTGGGAATTGTTCGGCGGATCTGCCACCGTACATTGGCCGTGGAATTTGTTTGCATTCTAAACGGGAAGTTTACCGGATCACTCGATAAGGCAGTTGCGAATTTCACGGTTGTAACCGCGGTTGTAACCTTCCCGCTGCTGTGGCGTGCAACTGCACAAGCCACAGGGAATAACAGTACGTTAAAGCGGCAAAATCGTTTAATCCGCCCCTTGAATCCCTGTATCCCCGTGTTCTCTCTTCTTTTATTTTTCCCTTGAAGTTGGTCGCCCCTGCAAACACCATCGCCGGAGAAAATATCATTCGGAGAACGGTTCTCTTTCTCACCCACTTCGCAAGGTCGTACTAATCTTCGTTATCTGTTCCACTTATAGTTTGCGTAATTTTGTTGGACTAAATCTCTAACGCAATTGTCACGCAATTAAAAGAATGAAGTTGATATTATAACGAGACTATTTTCGATATTTTACGTCGTTTATTACAGTTTGTATTTTGTGTATTACGTGCTCTTGTACTAATAACACTTGTACAAAGAACAAGAACTTATTCTACACCTGTCTTTGTTGGAGTGTGTTAAAATCTTAATTTTTTAATGAACTTTCCCGACGAGAGTGGGACGATACCCGAACCGACGCGAGACACTCGATTCTTTTCGGAAAGGTCACCGCATTCCTCCAGGTGTAAAACTTGGGCAACTCCATGTGCCATGGCAATTTTTAAATTACTCTTCGTAAATGCCAAGTGTACAACGCGCCGGTAGCCATCGAGCGTGAAGAAAATTAAAATTCCAAAGGACACGGCATTTATTTATTGCGTCCCCAGTATCTTAATATTCCAGCTAAAAAATAGCCGTGCTTTTGCAAGGTCTGCACTGCCCTCCCACGTTCTCCGGAAAGGAACACCTTCCTCGTCTCTCTACGTCCGCCGACGCAACGGTGTGTACCTTGCGGCCCTGTTATTTCCTTCGGCCCCCTCCCTCCTAAAATTAATTGTTTTTCCTCCCAGATTATTCTTTTCTCGTTAACGTTTCTCCGTTTCAGGAGGAAACACGCTCGCGGGCTTTCACCACTCCGTTTAATCTCGTTACCATTTCTCGTGCAAGTTTCCGCGAAACTTTGCTCGTTGGAAGCGTAGGAAGAAAGAGGTGTTGGGTGCAGGCTGTCTGAGAGAAACGAGCCGTGGCGCGTCGAACTAGTTGGCTGGAAGGGAAGGGAAGAAACAGGTTCCACGTGACGCCGATACTGACGCAAAATAGCGCGACTAGTAAGGGGAGAAGATAAAACGCACGGCGTGCAGGCGTACGCAGGCCATCGGCGAAATTCTGGTGTCACCGATCAAGGATTATCTTCGTCTCGGGTCAGATTACTTTGATCTATCGCGCGTAAAATCCTGCATCGCACACGGGAGAGAGAGAGAGAGAGAGAGAGAAAAAAAAAAAGGAAAAAAGAAAAAACAGGTGGACGGGCGAGACTCTATGAAAGACAAAATACGCTTGTTGCTCGTGCTGGCGTTGCGAGGATTTACGGAGGCACTTAAAAACCAACGCCAGTAGCTATTTCCCTCCCCCATTATTTTCTGTACGGTCTTTCAAACGAAGCGATTACTTTGAAACGCAACGTCGAGTGGCGCGGTATTGCTCGTTGCAGAGGCGACCGAAGCGCGTGCAACGAACGTTTTCATCGACGAGAAACGGGGTGCAGGTTATATCAACGATTTTCGCGGAACGAACGATGCGTCGCGTGATTTCGCGAGTCGATCGTATTTCATCCGATCTTAATTCTCTTACATTCTACACAGAATGTCCCGTATATAGAAAATAAAGTTGGAAATAAAAGGAAAAATATTATAGCGACGTTTTGTCTCGAAAAATGACACTATAGTGAGTAAAGTATAGTAATCCTATTACCCGGTGGGATTCAGGAAAAGGAAGGAACATATATTCGAGAATGATAAATTAAAACCTTCCCGCTCTCTCACAAATGCTTATAATACGTGCATTTCGTACTGGGATCATCATTTCTTTCTAATCGCTTTAACTTTATATTCTCACTCCCGTGAAATTCGTACCGGTCTCTCGTTCTCATGCCCGAAAGTTACGTCGACTTTTATGAGACATAAAATACGCAAGGACGTCGCATCGCTCACCCGAGCCACGCCTAATCTAATCGTTTAACCCCTTGCGCCGGCAACTGGTTCGCGGACCATAACGAGTGACCGAACCCGTATACAATAATTCATCGCTTTCTTTTTCTTTTTGAACACGTCGGTATGATATCACTGGATGGAAATTATTGTGAAGTAATAAATTTACTATTTGTTTTGCCTGGGTTATACCTAAATATACTTAAAACTGAGAAAACATTGCAATTTTGGGACAAAAAAATTCTCGACGTGTGTGGCACGTCATTCCAGCGCAAGAGGTTAACCACTTGGCAACTGATTGCGGACCATAACGAGTGACCGAATCCGTATACAATAATTCGTCGCTTTCTTTTTCTTTTGAACACGTCGGTATGATGTCACTGGATAGAAATTATTGTGAAGTAATAAATTTACTATTTGTTTTGCCTGGGTTATACCTAAATATACTTAAAACTGAGAAAACATTGCAATTTTGGGACAAAAAAATTCTCGACGTGCGTGGCACGTCATTCCAGCGCAAGAGGTTAAGAAGGAACTTGAAATCTCACGAATCGTTGTCTGTCATATTTAGTGCCATAATAGACGATCATCAGCCAACTGAACTCGGTGACAAGCGACGCGAATTTAACGTTAACTACGCGAGGCCAGGCTTTCGCCGGTCCTTGGTTAATCAGATCGATACAGTATCCGTTCTTCTTACGGCTAACGAGGACCTATTGTTCCAGGGAGCAGGCTCGACAACATGAACTCGAGCGGGGAATCAGGCGGCACGATGACCGAAGACTACGAGGTGGCCGGCTGTGGACCGCCGGAAGAGGAAACAGGCTCGAACTTGCCAGTGTGGGAAGCCGCGGCCGCCTCTTTGACACTTGGATTCCTCGTTCTGGCCACGGTGTTGGGTAACGCGTTGGTGATCCTCAGCGTGTTCACCTACAGGCCGCTGCGAATCGTGCAGAACTTCTTTATCGTCTCGCTGGCGGTGGCCGATCTCGCGGTCGCCATCTTGGTGATGCCTTTCAACGTCGCCTATCTCCTGCTCGGCAAGTGGATCTTCGGTATACACCTGTGCAAACTGTGGCTGACCTGCGACGTGCTATGCTGCACCGCCAGTATACTGAATCTGTGCGCGATCGCGCTCGATCGTTACTGGGCGATCACCGACCCCATCAACTACGCGCAGAAACGAACCCTCAAGAGAGTTTTGGCGACGATAGCCGGCGTGTGGTTGCTGTCAGGTGCGATCAGCTCGCCACCATTGGCCGGCTGGAACGACTGGCCGGAGGAATTGGAGCCGGGCACGCCGTGCCAGTTGACCAGAAGGCAGGGTTACGTGATTTACTCGTCGTTAGGCTCGTTCTTTATTCCTCTGTTGTTGATGAGCCTGGTGTACCTGGAGATCTTCCTGGCGACGAGGAGAAGACTGAGGGAACGGGCCAGACAGAGCAGGCTGAACGCTGTCCAGTCGACTAGACATCGCGAGGTGGACGACGCCGAGGAATCGGTCAGTTCCGAGACGAACCATAACGAAAGATCGACGCCTCGGTCGCACGCGAAACCTTCGTTGATCGACGACGAGCCGACGGAGGTGACGATAGGAGGTGGTGGCACCGTGACTACGTCCTCCTCGAGGAGAACAACCAGCGGACGAGCACCGGCAACAACCACCACCGTGTATCAGTTCATCGAGGAACGACAGAGGATCTCGTTGTCGAAGGAGAGACGAGCCGCGAGGACGCTGGGCGTGATCATGGGCGTGTTCGTCGTCTGTTGGCTACCGTTCTTTCTCATGTACGTGATCGTGCCGTTCTGTCCGGCTTGTTGTCCATCGGATCGAATGGTCTACTTCATCACGTGGCTCGGTTACGTGAACAGCGCCCTGAACCCGCTCATATACACCATCTTCAATCTCGACTACCGGCGAGCGTTTAGAAAGTTGCTGCGTATTCGTTGAAACGCCAGCCGATCGGTGGTTAGTTGTATCTCGAAACTGTGGGAAACACACTGTTGCTGTTCGTTACTGTGCCTGCCGTCTCGCGCGGTCAGGCATCGGTAATGAAACGGTGAAACTTGGGACTGGTTCGTCGAAGAAGACGACGACAACGACGACGACGACGACGACACAAGGATGAGAGTTCGGTTGGTTTTCTCGAGGCATGTTCGAGGCAGACGCGCCACGGAACAGGATATATCGTCGATAGTCCTCCGGATGACGAAGCGACGAAGAGATTCCATCGAAAAGATTAACAGTCTCGCGTGGATGCGTGGAACGCCGGTGCACACTCGTTACTCGGTGGTTCATAGTTTAACGGACATTAGAGATTTCCAGTGAACGATTTCACCGGGACGAAAGAGAGAGAGAGAGAGAGAGAGAGAGAGAGAGAGAGAGCTGCGAGCTGCGAGTTCGAATCGCGGCGGCGCGGATTAAGCGACCAAACGGCGAGTGCGATAGTCCAATTTAACGGCGATATTCTCGTCGTTCCATTAAACTTGTTCCATTAATCCTGCTAAGTGAGCGAGGAAACAAGACGCGCGATAAGGAATCTTAAGGAAATGAAACTCGCCGAGCTTGGATTGTTCCGCTGAATCGTTCGTTCCTTTCGTTGATCGCCGGTTACTTCGTCCGGTTGGGAGGGGGGGGAGGAGGAGGTTTTCTCGTTGCGAAACTCGTGCCAGAAGGCCAATTCGACGAATTCGATCGGTTCGATCGCCGGTTCGTCAACACCTACGAACTTCGATCCGGCGAATTGAATGGGAAACGTTTCCAAGAACGCGTCGCGGAGATCCGATTCTGGCCGATCTCGAGTCGATCTGGCCGTTCCATTTTCTACAAGGAGCCTCGGCGAAATATCGCCCCCCTCGAGAACTGGGAAGAAATATCCAAGATCACTGATGAATCGACGGCGTAACAGACGGTGCGAAGCGAGTCTTTCGAGTTTCTTCTTTCGCGCAGCTTCTCAGCTTTCTTTGTTTCCATTAACCTCCCCTCCTCCTCCTCCCCCCCCCCCTCCCGACGTGAACGAGGTTTGAGAATCGAGGTGTGATACGCTCGAATTCGCACGTAGAGGAACGAAATGAGGGAGAAAACACGCCGGTGGTGTTCTTAAACCCCGAGCAGAGAGATAAAAGCAAAAAGTTCACCGCGTTTACGAATAGGAATTTTCTACGAAATCGACCAAGACTCCAGTTAAGACGTTTAGAAGATAGAATATACGTATATCCTATGGTGGTATTACGCGCACCAAATGTAACGTCACCTACCAAGAGAGAGAGAGAGAGAGAGAGAGAAAAATCGTGCACGTGATCTCCCCTCGCGCGAGGATCCTCCGCGCGGTCTTTTAATAGCGAGGATTTACTCGTGAAACAATGGAGTCGGTTACCCTCCTCCCGATAACCGATGATCGTTCTCTCAAGTAGCCCTCGTGAAAAAGAACGTTTTGTTTGAACTCGGGTTGGCTCCCCTTTCCCCGGCGATATTCAATCTTTCATTCTTCAAAGAATCGGTCCGGGCCGAGTGTCGCCAGAGACGTCGTGAATTCATGGCCAGAGATAGTGGATCGGAGACATCTCTCGAAACTCGATAGTCGATAGCCGAGTCAAGGTTGACTCTTCTGAGAAATTACGTCTTGGCCCGAATTTAGGCAATTTTTTTTTTTTTTTCTTTTACAAGATCGTGCAGAGATACCGGAGGTACACGGTTCGCAACACCGAGTTGAGTTTGCAAAATCCGGAGAAGGACGAGTCGCGAGTTACGATCGTGATTCAGGACGGTGTTATAATAACGGACGAGCAGAACGGGTTGGCCTTGGTCGTTTTAACGAGATCAACGTGGTTGATCGTCGTCGATTTTTCTTGGGAGAAGCGCGCCGCGGCCGACGAGCTTCCGAGAGAGAAACTTTCACGGATGAACAGATCGATCCGGGAGGAGGGCAAACGAAGAGTAAAGAGGGCTTCTTTCTTAGCAACGATAGCGCAAGCGAGAAACATCGCGTATCCTTAGATGTGCGGTTAGACGTTACTCACTCCGTTCATTACCAGTCGCAGGTTGTGATCGTGGTTGTGAATATCGATGACAAACGTGATCCAAGTGCGAGAAGAGGAAGGCAGACTGTTGACAAAGTGAATAGTCGGAGAGGAAGAGGAGACGTATTGGGAGAAGATGTTGGTGTCGCCATTGGCGAGCGACGTCAGAGTGTTGCGTGCGCTGAAGCGAAGTTACGTGCATCGAGGGAAGAGTGAGAAAACGCGTGACACGAATAGAAGAGAATGTTGCGGCGGTATTGCATGCATGTGTATGTGTGTGTGCGTGTGTATGTGTGTGTAAAAAAAATATTTAAGTCGCCTCCAGTCTTCTTTCCATCGGCACGCGCAATTACAGCGAGCGGATCAAGAAAAAGAAGAGAGCGGTTGCTGCTCTTCGTGCGTCAACGTTCGTCGATCCTTCGACTAAATGGAAACATAGTTGAGAAAAGAAAAGAAATCCTCACGCATTCGAATATACATATCGGTGATTGGAATCGGTCAATGACGATTCGTGCTATAATAATAATATAACCGTGTTCAAAAATTAGTTCGTTAATAGGAAAACAATAGAAAACAATGCGCGCCGCTGACGGAACACGCCGTCGGTCATTGGTGTTCGTAACCGCGTTTGTTTCGTATCGGCGAATGATTGAGGCGCGAGGAAGGGGTTAAATTAAAACGAGTCGCTGCCGATTAACGAGGGAATAGGTGACACGTTTGCCGTCCCCTCGAGTGCCGCGCCAAATCGAATAAATAGACACGAAGGTAAAAACGGGGGAAAAAAAGAAAAACAGAATGAGGAGGAAAAAAAAGATAAAGAGGAAAGAAGACGAGAGAGAAAAATGAAATAGACAAGGAGAGCACGCGGTTGTCAGAGGAGGACGTATCGTAGGTAAAACCGTGTGAAAGGAGATCGCGCGATAGTCTGGTTAATTCGAAAAAGAAACTCGACCTCGTCACCAGGGCGCTCTATAATAAGGTTGTGATAAGGTTGTGAGAACACGTTCGTAGCCGTGCTACGGACACTACAAGATTTTTAATTATTATAGGATAGACAAATGAACTATTACTTTATTCGTGGCACTGTCCAGACGCGGCGCGAATTCCTATCCAAGAGTAAATCGAACGTTTGAACAGCTCTGATTCGACGTTCGAGAGGCAATCTGAGAGCCTGTGTTTCTTTAATCCTCCTTTAATCCGTGAAATTCTCCTCTCTTGCTTCATTGTGTCTCGTCGATGTCGAAATTGCGGCCTTATTTTCATTCTTTTCAAACCTTTTCTTTTCCATATTTCTCTCTCTCTTTCTCTCTCCCCTTTCGCGCTTTCGTGTTTTCCTTTTTCCCTGTTTCTCCTCTTTTTTCATTTTTTTGTTTTTTACACGTTTGTTTTTTACGACAGCAAACTCTGTTGAAGTGACAGTGAATATTACGAGAGGCTGACTCGATTTCCAGCGAAGCCGGACTTTACGTTCTCCCAAAGTGCTCGTAAAATGCACGCTGTATCGCCCTCTCTCCGCCCCCTTCCCCTCCTTCCATCCCCGTTAAGCTCGGAAACGACTCGGTTATCGCAAATTTTCTCCATTACAGCTTTCACGTCGATTGCATACATCCGAAACCAGCCATCCAGCCGAACAGCGGTTTTGCGAGCCAATGATCACCGATTGGAGCGTTGTTCCTTCGCTTTGTCTAATCAGCTGTTTCGGAGCAGTTGCTCGCTTCTCCTCCATTGTCTCGACGAGATTACGCTCGCGACAGTTACGCTTGGCCACGCAAAACTTTTCCATCATCTTTTCGTTTACGAGGAATTTCATTTTATTTCTGATCTCTCTTTCCCGACGGAATATTTGACAACTCAGCAACACGTGTTTGAACACGTTTGCGTTAAAAAACGACCAATCAATGCGCGATACCCGCATGGTAGGAAAGAAAAAAAAACGGATCGTTGGTTTTTTTTTTCACCAAAGAAGAATGAAAGAAATATGCCAAACGATGAATGAGGGAACAAATAATAAAGAAAAAAAAGGAGGAAGATAAAAAAATGCAATATTTCGGACAGCGTTTGTACCCGGAAAATCGTGTTTCCCGGCTGACTGTTGCGAACGGAACGGGCTTTATTTTTTTTCACGGAAGGACGCCGTTTTTCACCGGTTGTTTTTTCCGCTGCCTTGAATCCCCGAAATACGCGCGTGTCACGAACAAACCTCGCTGAAATTCGCGCGCAATTCATTGGACAATTAGAAAGTTATTTTGGAAAAATACCAATATCGATCGATTCGCTCGTTCTCGCTCGTGCAATCTGTTTTTCACTCGATCGCCCCGTATCCCGACAGTTTACGACAGCCGCGTCTTTTCCTCGCGCTCGTTCTACTAGATAGTCCAATGTGTCGGACGAATGATTGACTGCCTCTACTGTCGTCGAGCCAATCCAACGAGCAAACCGCACGAAATTCAAATCACTCGACCTCGTAGCACCGCGTCGTCCCGTTTGTTCTCTCTCCCGCTTATTTTTCTTGAACGTTTCCCTCGAATTATCTCGTCGCGAAACGAGCCAAACGCAAATCCAATTTGTCCCCGCTCCACCGGCCCCCGTTGACTAATTCCAACTTCGTACGTCTGTTTCGAAGAAACTCAAAGTCCGTCCCCGAAATAATGCCTTGGCTAGTGTACACACTGTCGTTTCGTTCGATAAAACAAATTTTTTCCGCGCGTCTCTCTCGAAAAGCATAAAATTGCTTCTAAAAGTGAATAAAAACACTCGTGTTTTCTCGATCGTCGCGCATATTTTTTATCACACGATGTGAAAATGTAATTAAAACGCTCGCGATTGAAAACTTTTGAACGGCGTTTCTGTACGTTCCAATTACTTTCTCGAATTTACACGGGTACGCAGCCGTCTTCTGGTTTCGAAAGTTATCGAGGCTGCGGAGAAAGAGGATTTCACTCGGATATCTCTTGGATGGGAAGTTCGGCAGTGCGTAGAAATATTATTGTACTACATGATATATTGCATTAAAGCATTACATTTACTTACTATCATCCGTATCGGCAGGTATTGATTTCCGTACGAGGAACGTATCGCGGATCGACACGCAGGATAAACTTTCCTTCGTCGATTTCTCTTCCCTCTGTATTTCTCATTTCTCTCAATGCTCATTCTCCGTCTACTTCTTCTTCTCTCCGCTGATCGTGTACAACTTTGCAAGAGAGCGATTCTGTCCGATTCGCGGGCATTTTCCCCAACCCGGCGACTGTTTTTTTTATACGATTATTCGCCGTGCGCGAAAATTTAACTGCAAATTGATCCGCGAAACGTCGTTGACGATCTTATACATATATATATATATATATAAATTATTATGTAACATTGGGCCTGGTCGCCCGATCGAGACAAACACTACGCTAGATACGTATGACATATACATAAAAATATATTATATATATATATACACACATCTAGGTATTAAACTAATACTCCATTGGTTGTGATTTACAAGTATAGCAATACCAGGAGCTCGGAGTCCCGCGACCCGAATCGCGGCGTGGAGCTTCTCTCTCCAAACGAATTTATTATATTAAACGCTCGTCCCGGCGGACCGAATTTTTCGAGGATGTTTAACGTCGGGCTTAATTTGACATATTTGTCTCCTAATTTATGTCCGCGTTTGCAGTTTAAAAAAAAAAAAAACGAAAAGAAAGAAGAAAATAGACATTAAGCCGACCGAGTAATTTAAGACTATACGCCCGCCATTGTTTAAATCGTCGCCATTCGTCGTCGTATGTTTTGTGAGCTCGTCACTCGTAAATCCGTTAAAATGACAAAAAAAAAGGGATACACATGCGCGCACAAACAGACACACACACACACACACATAAATATATATCCTTGGAAAAGACACATCCCGTATTCGTTATACTGTGAATATAAAATTACCCCGACACATCGTATGACGAGATACTCAGAAAAGAAAGAAAAAAAAGAAAAAAAAAAGAAGAAAGATCAACAGAGAAAATATTTTTATTCGGCTTTCCGATGTTAATTAAATATCCACGTGAGGACGCGCTGGCCGAAACGAAATCGTTAACGAGGTTAAAAACCCTCCATCGTCGTGTTTCAAACGCGTTTGTTGCATATGAAAATCATGGAGAGATACGACCGCTCGTCGTTCGTCGTTCGTTCCTTTCGATGACTGTTCTCGTAGCTGAGCCCGCGCTGAAATTCGATCGGCAAATTCTCTTAAACCTTGTTAGTCACGTTTCGATCGTTTCGCGCGCGCGCGCGCGCTTCTCGCAGAGAATCTTGTTCTGTTCGGCCGGTGTAGCGAGTATAATAACGGACGAATAATACGTACTCGAACAATCGATCACAAGCCTCGCTTCCGGCGCGAGTTGTCCTGACAACTTGTACGCGAACCGTTTTCACTGACGACAATTTTAGCGAAGTTTCAGCCAACTTTAACGACACTAATCGTCGATACGAACGGATATATGAATATCGAGAAATTTCGTTTGATTTAAGACGAAGGGGAGAGGAAACGCTCCGGTCGCGTCCCGGAAGCACGGACCATCGAGTGTTCATGTGAGCCTGCCGCTTGAGTGTGTACATATATTCAAATAAAATCGACGAACAAGATACCGAAAGAGAGAAAAAAAAAAAAAGAAAAGAAAGGAGAAAGAAAGAGCATTTGTGTATGTGTACGAGTAGCGTGTGGAGCACAGTGTGAATGGATAGATCTGTCGAAAGCGATTGTCGATTGTCTTCTCCGGCGCGCGAGGAACCTTGTCAAACCGGAAGCGAAAAATATCACTGTCGATCCATCCCGGAGGACGCACGGGATTTCTCCGCCCGGGAATCCATCGCCGCCGTCACGATTTTTCCGAACTATTCGGTCTTCGTTATCTGTCTACTCTATCTCTTGATTTGGCAAAAACAAAAAAGAGAAGAGAGAGGGAGAAAAAAAGAAAGGTGAAACGAAAAAGAAGAAGCAGAGACAGAGACGCGCACGGTGGAAATTTTCAGCTTGGCGCAAAAATTCATTACTTCTGGATACCGAATACGCTTCTCTGTGTCATCCGGCAAGCACCAATATCGCAAAGTGCCCCCTTTCCCGGTGAATCACTTTAATTATTTTCAAGCCGGAAGTCCATCGTATCTAATTTCCATATTTCGTATTTCGCGTTTCACGTGGATTAACCCTGTGCACCACCGCTACCGATCCGCCATATACGGTGCCCGTCCAATTTCACGACCTCTAAGCTCCGTTTCGACGCGCGATCCTTGAAACAAACACGGACAGCGTCGGATCTTAGCGAGGTCGAGTCGAAACTTCATTCATAGCCTCTTCTGTTTCACGTTCTCTGTAAATCTGTCATATATGTAGGTTCGTCGTACAACTCGAACGATAACGCCAATTTATTTATCGCGATTCTTCGGTCAGGTATCCCGCATCAGGTGCGCCATAATGATTCGTGATCAACCGAAGGACAAAACGGACTTTTCATTTCACGTGGCTGGAGACCGTGAGCTTTCATTACGCGAAAATTGTTATCCGCCAAGAGGCACGTTGGAAAGTTCAGTGCACGAGTAACAAGAAGAAAAAAAGCAGAAACTAGGAGCGCGGTTGTTATCGTTATCTATTACGGCTCCCGGTTCGGAATTTTTCGTGCGTCCGCCGTGTGAATGAGAAGAAACAAAAAAGGAGAGAAAAAAATCCAGAACGAAAAAAAAAGTATGTATATATATATATATATACATACACATATATATATATATACATATATATATATATATACACGCACACAGTGACACGGACACACACTCACGCACACACACACACAAGTATATACGAGTAAAATGTGGAAACCCTTTTCGGATGTGATTAATCTCCTGAAAGCACCCCACCATTCTCCAGAGCGCACGCTCGCCTATGTACACAGGCCGAATGATTGTACGAAAAATCAAAACTAAAGGTATCTCTCTCCCCGGTTGCCGCGGCTTTTTTCGGTCGCGGGATAAAACGAGGCTGCGCTTTATAGCCAGATGCCAGAAAGTTTGCGACTTTCTCGCGGTGTTTATGCACGGTACACGGGAATCTCGCTGGCAAAAGTAAACGATCAGCCGCAGTTTTCGTTCCTTCGCCGCGTCCCTTTGCAGAAAGCAAACGGAGGATCGCGAATAAATTCCATTTTACAACGATACCATTTCATTTCCGAGCTGGCGCTCGCGTGTAAGTCTCGCAGGACATTTTTATATTCGATGGTCGGTGGATATGACGGATAATAAAATTCTTGAATTTTGCGCGCACTTTGCAATAGAGTATGCCGAATTGTACTTTATTTATTTATTCGTTTATTAACATATTACACACTTCTCGTCTGTATTTTATTTTCCGGATTTTGTAACAGATATGTGTCTCGGAAGTCAAACTGAATTCATTCCGGAAATACAATGATTTTTGAGAGGAAATAACGCGCTTCTACAAGTTCGTTTCAACAGTAGGAAAGTGTAAGTTATATCCGCGAGTTTCGAGGTGAATTTAAAAAAATTTCGCGCCCGCGACATCGTCTTTAACTTTGTCCTGCTTTTTTATTAACGGAGAGCCGATCGATGCGTCTTCCATCGAACGATTCGTACTTGTCCTAAGATTTTTGAGCGGGATTGTACATCACTGCGATGGATATCAACGCGAGTTGATACGAACTCGACGATCAGCCGAGTTTTCAACGTGACTGTTTGAAAATCTGCAGGCGCCGGTAACAATCTCGCGGAAATAATGGCGTTTGGAAATAACCACGGTATCGTGCCGAGCATCGATAATCATCTGATTTGAATAATCTCGCGGCATCGCGGGACGAACAAAAAAAANAAAAAAAAAAAAAAAAGAAAAAAACACCAAAAGAAAAGAAACAATCTTATCGTGGTTAACGTGGCAAAAACGCAGGCTCGATAAACATTGCTGCCGCATCATTGAGCGTCCGTTCGCTCGTACGTGACAGGGACTGATCGATAATACCCCCAGAACTCGCTCTAATCCCCCATGGTGAGATTTTAACGGTAGAACCGGCACTTTGCCGATGCAATTCTATTCGGAACTCCGGTGGATCGGATGCTTTTGCAGATCGTACGCGACGTTCGCTGAATCGGCCGACAAATCGTCCATCGAAATTAAAGGGCCCCCTCGCCTGCATGCCGCGGCCGCGTTTCCACCGAGAGAAAGAGAAAAAGAGAGAGAGAGAGAGTCGCGTGTGCCGACCGGGGCCGGTCAGCGCGCGCAGAATTTTTCTTTTGTGACGGAAATAAAGGGAACCGAGACACGTTTTATCGTGTCGAACCACGGTGGTCGGCCAAGCTGCCAGGTTGCCAGTTAGTTGGAACACAGTTGGTCCTTGGTTCTACGGTTTCAATTAATGCCAGAACTGCCAGAAGTGGTCGAAGCGACTAATTTGTAGTTTCTCTCGGTGGACATTTTTTTTATGGATTCGCGCGACCGTGCGTTCCTCGAGATTCGAATGTTTTTTTCCGGTTTTTTCTTTTTTTTTTGGTTTTCGCGAAATATCCAGCCAGTCGCTGATTGATTTACGCGGATGAATTCAAAGGGAAAACGATACTATTCCGTAGGTTTAAAATTGAAAACGAAAATGATTCGCGTATCTGATTCATCGAGTCGTTCGTAATTTGTTCCAATTGAAATATTTATGATTCTCTTCCATTGTTAATTCCAACAGAGTACAAGTGTATATCAGTGTCAACTGTCCGCGAATTGTCCCCAGTGATTGTAACAGAGCAGATTTTGCTCTGCGGCAGCGATACGAATGGGTTAAACCGTGATGTTAATTACAATATCACATTATCAGTAAAATTTCACTTGTAATTTTCAAAAAAATTCGAACGCGTACCTCTGAGAAAGGCACTCGAGATCCTTACCTTTCTGAAAATGTGCTCTGATTTTTACAGTTGCTGATAAATATCGTTCCCATCCGCGCTCATTTTTAGAACAAAACGTTCCAAATCTTTAATTCTTTGAGAAAGATTCGCTCGCAAATGTGAGAAATCTGCGGTTAAAGATTCACCATTTCGGCGCTTTGATACGTTTACGAATCTATTAAAAAAAGGAACAAACAAGTTGTTACATTCACGCGTGCTCGTAAATCAGCCACCCCTCTCGTCCAACTTGTTGAGTAACATCAACGCGTTTTAATTCCTTTCAGCAAGTGACTGTGTTTACGGCCAATCAAACCGGTCGGTTAAAAAATCATCGGGAATAATGGAGCTGGCGGCTCCATCGAGCGTTCGCGCGAACGAAATTTCATCGATCTGAATTCCGTGGCTGAGACGCGGCTGAAAGTCGACTCGTCGCGGAGCAAACAATTTTATCTCGTCGGAATTCCATCCCTCGCCATCGCGGTGCGCGCGAACGATTAACGAAGTTACAAGATTAACTCGGGCGCAAGGAATGTTCTTCAAAACGCGAGTGGCAATATTTGTAACGTTCGCGGCCGCTCTCGTTGATTCGTCTTGTTTGCCCTCCACCATTTTTTCCCTGGACGAGGCCTCTCCGTCGCTTTTTCTCTCTAAAGCCGCGGAAAATTCATTTTTTTTTTTCCCCTCCACCAGCCAGCTCCACTGGCTGTCTATTTTTATACGCAACCGTCGCGCCGTCCTCGTGTGTACACGCGCGAGATGCATAACGTTGGAAACGTCGCTGAGAGCGAGAGAAAGAGGAGGCGGAGGAGAAGTGACGTCGAAATATGCATAAAGATGACCAGAGGCTGCTTCGATGAAAAATACATGAGTGGCCTCTTCGGTGCACCCCGCGGGGGAACTTCGTTATCGAGGTAAGTTGTAAAATCCACGCGAGCCAAGCGGTCGCTAATGTATCTGATAAATGTTTTATGCATAGCACAGTGGCCGCTGCTTTTTTTTCTTTTCTATAATCGTTCTTCCGCACCCTCGGAATGAAAATCACTTTTTGCTCGTTTAGACTCCGGGTCGGGAATCGTCCAATTTAGCGTCCCGTTCTTCGAGTCGTTGCGTCGTTCAGCGCCGATCTCCTCTTTGGGAATGTCGACGTCTCGGAGACGGGAGAGATAGGAGGGTGTACCACGTACCATGTACCTGAATGAATAGTTCGGTGTTTGCACGATACAGAAACTTAGTTAGAGAGGTACAAGTAAATCTCTAGAGGATCTGAAAGAGCCACGTAAAATTGACGGGGAATTATTAATACGTCGAAATAAATAAATAATAAACAAACGTTGATGTTGTAAATATATATTTGTGACAACACGAGGATATTTGGATCTCCTTGAATATTTTGTCGACGATAATAACGTCCGAAATGATCATTCAGGATTTTGAAATTAAATTCTCCAAATTGGAGATTAATAAGAATAAATTATATAACACAACGTTTCAATAGTTTATGTCTAACAATTACATAATATAACACAATGTAACAATAGTTTGACGACAATTAATGTTTACTTAGTGAGATTAAAGAAAGAACTACGCGATGTAACGTTTCAATAGTTCTACTACATTTAACGACGATCAACGTTTATCTAATAAGATTGAAAAAAAGAACTCGTAAAAACAAGGGACTAAAATCTTGGAACGTGGTACGAGGTACTCGATCTGGTCTCCACTTTCCCTCCGTGTCTATGGCTCGATGAGCGCACACACGTAACGAATTTGCATAATGCAAAGTACACGGTAACGTTGGAATCCCCTCCCTGGAGTACAGGCGAACCTTTGCAATTCCGAAAGATAATTGTAGATGCCGGTCCGCTCCCCGCGAGGGCAAACAGACCGACGGTCCTGCACGTCACAAAGGGCCCCTGTGGAACCCTAAAGTACCAGGCGGCTATTTCTAACCTCTGTCCTTAATAGTGAAGGAAACAGCCCTGTATCATCACCTTGGCTGCTTTCATTTAACAGCCGGAAAAGAGGCGTAGGCACAAACAAACAACTCGTGAAAAAGAATCGTAGCTGCGATCATCGCATTGTGTCACGGTGATAGACAAAATAAAGTATGAAACGGATATTGCAATACAATAAAATACAATAAAATATAATAAAATTCAATAAGATACAATAAAACACAATAAAATACAATAAAATACAATAAAATATAATAAAATTCAATAAAATACAATAAAATACAATAAAATATAATAAAATTCAATAAAATACAATAAAATCCAATAAAATAAAATACAATAAAATATAATAAAATAAAATAAAATAAAATAAAATAAAATACAATAAAATAAAATACAATAAAATAAAATACAAGAAAATACAATAAAATAAAATACAAGAAAATACAATAAAATAAAATACAAGAAAATACAATAAAATAAAATACAAGAAAATACAATAAAATAAAATACAAGAAAATACAATAAAATAAAATACAAGAAAATACAATAAAATAAAATACAAGAAAATACAATAAAATAAAGTGCAAGAAAATACTATGAATATCGAAAGATATCTGTAGAATTTGAACGACGAGGCAATAAATTGTGTTTGGTTCCAGATTCCCATTTTTATTAGAGAGCATGCATTAGTATTTATACCTACGTTTATCCAATTATTTCTAGAATGAGGGACTAACATACGAAGTTTAAAGTGTGTGCGTCACACGATAAAGCGGAGAGTTTCACTGCACTTCGTGCTTCGCGCGTGTTAGACGGAGATTTCGATCTACGATATCTGGGAATTTCGGCGAGGCGACCAGTCATCGCACGTGCATGTACGTACGTGAAAATGTAATGCAACGATCGCGAAATCACGTGCGCCGGTCGCATGATCGGCGGACGAATTGCGAGCACGAGGCATCGGGCCATCGTGTTTCTCTTGTACGGCTGCCACGCGACCGTACGCCACCACCGACCGGCGAGGGTGAACGTGCAGATCGCGATAGGGAATGCAACGCGCACTTTTCTACTGCTGGCTTCGCGCCCCGTTGCTTCCGCAATGAAACTTCCCCTGTCGCTTGCGATCTAGAGATAGCTGCGCGTGGCTGCTCTTTCATCTATCTTTTTCACCGATGTGCCGATCCGTGTTTTCAACGTGACGTTCGAAAATGTATCGTGTAGCCGAGTGTTGTAGCGAGACTCGAAGTAGAAAAGCCTTGGAAAAATAAGGCTTGCACGGTATTTACAGTGCGCGTTAGATGGAAAGGCTGAGATAGCAAGGCTGGCTTGACGTATCGCATTAGTTCGTTACATCGTATAAGTGAATAATTGCGGACTGTGAATTTAACCACTTAACGCGACGCTTCCAATCCTGACTTCCAAGCTTTACTCTGGAGATAAAGAGTGCCGAACATGAGATCAAACAATTTTTTTTTTTTTTTTTTTCAAATACGTTGAGCAAATTAAACGACTCAAAGCACGACGAGAAGCGTTTTAAAAAATCGGTAACTGACTTAATTCAGATGTCCGAAAATCGAATAACGAGATGATTGACGTCCAAAGTTAATTAACTCCGAGTCAATTAAATCTCTCATTTACGAATATTATTAGCGCGAATAGGAAATTTGTGTACTCGTACGGGGACGCAGGAATAAGCGGGAATATATATATATATATATATATATATATATATCAATTCAATGGAAATATCGATGAAATTATAACGTTATATCTTTTAACGAATTAATATTTAATAAGCTTAGAGCGCATGAATTATTCAACGAAATATATCTCGCGGCACGTAAATTATTTAACGACGTTTGACGTTTCGCGATGTTCACGCTTCGCCCGCAAATACGTTCGGTTGGGAACCGCTGGACGAAGGACGATAAATTCCCGACACAATAATAATTTACAACGCGATAAACCGACGTTTATCTGGTGTACCGGCTTCGAGGGAGAGCCGCGACGCGTGTTAACCGTGTTAAGAATTGATTGGCCGGCGATGCCGGTTTATTAAATTTTTCGATGCACGTATACGTACGATGGCCGGCCTCTATCGCTGATCTCGCGTCTCGTTCGAAAATTGATAACAGTCTAATAACCATTAAAGCAGCAATTATCGCGTAATGCCGGTTTATTACGAGTCATTCTACGCCGCGCCACGTTTCAAAGATAAGCCGCCGCGATATCATTTTCACGCGTTTGAATTTTCCCGAAATACGACCGCTCTCCGCCTTCGATCCATCAATTTCCATGCAAATCGATTCGAGGATACAGAAGCTTATACACGTGTACGTGTCTCGGTATTGTTTCTTGAGGCACGGCGGACCACCACGTCCCGCTGTTGGAACTGATTGCACGCTCGTAAATCGTTGCGGCGAACGCTACGAAACTACTGCCCGATCGCGAATTACTCGTCGAGTGGTATTATTAAATACTTGGGATTCACGACGGTCTGCGCGACCCGGTGTATCAAGAATGTTTGATCGAAAATTATACCGGCCGGCCCGCCTGAGTCATCGGGCGCTACCCAATCAAACGGTAGTTTGCATTTCGATCGCTCATAACTTTGCTTATAACTCTAGTGGATCCGGCCGCGAAATAGTTGTGCCGATCAGTTCGTCCGTCCGTTCGTTCGTCCGTCCGTTCGTTCGTTCGTTCGTTCGTGGCACTCCTCCGGAGAGAGTGGACCCATTAATCATTTCCAATGGACTGCCGGGTTATCTGAAAGTTAAAATTCCTCGGGAAAATCCCCGGCACGTAAATGAGAAATTTTTCTCCCCGCTATCCGAGCGAAAGATCGGCACGACCGGCGATCTTCGTGCGCAGGGAAATAAAGTTTTCAAAGGAGAATGCTGCCACGTGCGTGTATGTGTGTGTATGTGTGTGTATGTGTGTGTGTATGTATACATATACTTGAGAATAAATTAGCGATAATGGCAATCTTTATTGCGGCAATTGTTACTGGGAATAAGCATGCCAACTGATCAGGCACGTTGTAACTTCTGCAAATCGCGTCGATAAAGGAGTTTCATATAAATTAGAATTTCTCTAAATAAACGATTGTTCCGATAAAGGATTAAGGGCTACGTAGACTGGGATAAAAACAAAAGGAGTTATGGCGTAAACCGTGAGATTTACAGAGCTGTACATACTCGGACGCTCGATGAAAATTTGTCGATACTCGAAACTGTTACAACTTGTACAAACAAGAGAAAACGATTCTCTTGCACTTATTTCCAAGCGTTCACTGCCTCTATTTTTAACAGTTCTAAGTTTGTTTCTTCTTCAACGATGTTTTAACAACGATGTTTTAACACTTTTACGTATGAAACTAATTTTCCTAATTTTCTTCAGAATACAGTAACCAACTAATTTTCCTCAGAAATATTATAAAAGTATAAGGTGTAGAATATTATTAATATTATTAAAGTTAATAATATAATTAATAGAAGAATAATATTAATAATATAATTAATAGAAGAATAATATAGAATGTTATGAATATAATTAATATTATAAAAATATAAAGTAAAAATATAGCAGAACATAAAATACAAAGTAAAATTTACCATTTTCTCGATGGAACATACGGTGTCATCGATGGGATTGATCAAATGGAGGAAAAATTGAAAGTCGAAATGTCATTACGCGAAGACGTCACGAGAAAATGAATATTTAAAAACATCAAACGATATTGCTTCGATGCACGTAGCAAAAATTGATCTTAAATTGATCTTGATTAATTATAGAATTGCACGAAGCCGATCGTGAGAGGCGAGGGAGAATGAAAAATGGAAGAAAGATCGGTCGAAGGACAGAAAACTCACGAGACAGGAAAGAGAAATGACATGAGTGTGTATTAGACGACGAGAAAAGAAGTTGCATAGACATTGTATTTCCGTTTTCTC